AACTGAAATCAAATCTTCTTACGTCAAATCGTAGAAGTTTGACACCTCAGGAGCCTCAAACCAGACCTCTTTGTGCCTTTCATCTGACAGTTCTGATAAAGCAAGCGTGCGGCATACGATAATGCCTTTATGGGAGGGACAGAGAAAAATCCGGGAACGGGGACTGGAAAACAAGTTTACTTCCTTAATCTGCAGTTACTAAGATAAAGTATATCTCAATATGGTGATTTTTTTATTTTTCCAGGCTGAGCTTTTCAAACCTGCGCAGATAAAGTTGGATAAAGCTGTTCCTGAGCTTAGTCAGCAAAGTCCTTTGCCGTACAGAAAGCCTGAAAATTCGTATACAGTCCTCTTTGCCCCACGGGGTGAGCCACAGGGGTGGTGTTGCCTAATCTCGTACGGTTCCCATTGAGACTTTCAGGCACCTGGCCATCGGCACGGAGCGTATAATTTGCAACGGTCTCCCAGCCTCGCGGCCATCGGGCATTTATTTATTTGCCACTTGGGGCCCATCTTCGAGCCAAAGCAGCCGTTGGAGGTGCCCGTCTCCTGTTGATCGTGACCTAGATTGCTCGGAGACTCCTAGGAGTTACCTCCAAGTGTATCTCCCGTAACGTTTAGAGGGACTGTCTCTTCGCGCACGAGTTGCTGCCCATCACCGGAAGCAGCAAAGCGTAAAACGTTCCTGTCACCAGTCCTGCGCCGCCTCAGTGCTTCTCTGCAGGGGGAGGTCACGGTCACCACCCGACTCTTCTGCCTTCGCACAAGCACTTCAAACACCAGCTGTCCCCCCTCCCCTGCGGCTGCCGAGTGCTTTATTTTACTGCTCTGCGTGAGTCTTTTAATGCTTCTGCGTAGCCCGAGCTCGCTGTGAACACAGGTAGAGCCTCCGCACGCCGGGCGTCATGTCCAGCCTTACTCAGACGTCGAAATCTTACATTTTTCCTGGACACAAGCATAACTCCTGGGGGATTTTATCGGGCAGGAATCCTGACCCAGCCCCAGCTGCATCAGGAACTGGCAAACCAGAACTAAAAGCCTCCGCATCCATCCCTCCAGCTGGTCTTCATCTGCTTTTGGAGAACGCGGCGGGGATCTCCGCATCGTTTGGTGCCCTCTGCCGCCGAGCAGAGCTACAACAGAACGGCCACCTTCTGCCACCCAGTCCGGGCACCCCAAACTGGGCGCCCAGTGCCCCACCGTGCGCCGCGGGCACTGCCTGCTCCCTGCCCTCCCCTCCGCCACCTTCTCTGCCACGGTGGCGATGTGGCAGAGTTGTGTTTTGAGCTCTTTGCAGTTGGGTTTTGAGTTTCCTCAGGGTTCTCTGCTCCCTTGGAGGGCAAAGGGTAGATTATTTTTTTTCCAGAATCCAGCGTGTCTTGTTCCTTCCATTTCCCTACCAAGGTTAGAAACATCCCGGTCAGCAACCAGACCGTCCCTACCTGGCTCCTTTTTGCGCTGCACGCGCTTCGATGGCATCCCGAGCCTGGCCGTCCCCAGCATCGCTACCTCCGGAGCCATTGCCGGAGGGGATCCTCCCCGGTTTCTTTTGTTCTTGACTTTAATGGTGTTAAATATTTCTTCTGAGATTTTGCCGGTGCCGAATTCCACAACTTCTTCGTTCTGCGTATAATGATGCATCCAAAAAAAAAAAAAAAAAAATTAAAATCAATGCCTGTCTGAATACCCAGTTTTTCGTTGGCTCCTGACGATGGGATCTATTGACAGAAGAATGAGCTCATCCCAAAACTTCCCATAATTTGACAAATTACTTCTTTCCATTGAAAAAAACCCCCCATAATTAAAATGAAATCCTGATCCTCAGCGATTACAACTCTGTGCCTGGAGCTCAGTTTCAGTAACAATTGCACGCAGTAAGGGGTCTGCGATAAAAGACTGAAAAATCTTTGAGTCTTCATGACGTGATACAATCCCTAAATTTGGGATACGGTTTGGCTGTTCGGAAGAGGACAGCTCACCTAGAGGCCCGTATATCAGCCCAGAAACACAGGACGTGCCTTTTCAAAACCAGTTATGTTTCCCTAACGTTACAAACCAAGTTCATTTCACTAAAACACTGGTCCTGAGCATGAGGCTTCTCCAGTTTGTTTTTTTAAATACAATGAGAGGATTCACCCCCACTGTCCTCCTTGCCCAGAAAGAGGACTTCCACGAGAGCACAGGTTACTCCCTCCATTCTGTGCCCAGAGAGGTTCATGTTATGTCTGAACACGCTGACTGCTTGGTGAAAAAAAAAAAAAAAAAAGAAATTAAATTGGTATATGGCTGTTGAAAAACTTGTGATTTTTGTTTCCTCTAATGTTCTGGCAGAAAAAAAACCCCAAAACTTAGCAGCCCCAAAACCAAGGGACACCGGGTGTGACAGCGAGTCTGGACTTCAGTCCCCAAAACCCATCTCGCTAATGTGCTCCGAAAGCAGAATTTGGCACCTGAATTGTTACAGCCCTTCAGTTTTCTCCGATTTCTCTGCTCGTTACCAAAAATCAGCGCAGGATGAGCATCGGTACGGAAGGACACCTTGGAGGCAGCTCGCCCCCGCATCACCCCACCCTGTGCAGGTGTGTTCCGCTCAACGGATGTCCCGGCTGACACCGTTCCCACAAATAGAGGAAAGTCCACCCCGGCATCACCGGGACCTCCATCCCTGCCCGAGGAGAGGGGACACTTACCGCTCTGCTGCTCCACCGTGTTGCTCCTCGCTTGCCCCCACCGGTTACCTCCCGTTCCCCGCTGCGGGGTTGGACCAAGGACTGTTTCCACCTTCCAGCAGGACCTTCCTCTTCGTCACAGGCTCAGGCGGGAGCCACACCAACACGTGCCAATGGCTACCGGTTCTGACAGGCTGAGACAGTTGGGGGGGGTCAGCCTGGAGAAGAGGAGGCACTGGGGAGAGCTTAGAGCCCCTTCCAGTGCCTAAAGGGGCTCCAGGAGAGCTGGGGAGGGACTCTGGACCGGGGAAGGGAGCCATCGGATGAGGGGGAACGGTTTTACACTGGAAGAGGGGAGATTTAGATTAGATATTAGAAGAAATTCTCCACTGTGGGGGTGGTGATCCCCTGGGGCAGGTTGCCCGGAGAAGCTGTGGCTGCCCCATCCCTGGAGGTGCTCAAGGCCAGGTTGGACGGGGCTTGGAGCAACCTGGGCTGGTGGGAGGTGTCCCTGCCCATGGCAGGGGGGTGGGACTGGATGATCTTCAAGATCCCTTCCAACCCAAACCATTCTATGGTTCTGTGGAGCTCCATCCACCACATCTTTCAGCCCACGCAAGCTCCTGCGGACCACCTATGGCGTTACCTGCCCCAGCATGGAACATGTGCCAAGCCCAGCAGCTCCCGAGCAGCCTCCCCGGAGGAAGCCCCGAGCCTCAACCCTTGGAGGGTGAACGAGTGGGAAGGTGGGAGCTTTGACAGCTCTCCGAATCGCCCCTCCACGAGCGCTGCCGCCGGTGGGCCAATCTCTGCAAGGGTACAACCTCCGCTTTCCACCAGCACCGAGGCACAAGGAAGCTTGTAAAGTTCTCCCAGCACAGGAGCCCGGCAAACCAGTAAGCTCCAGTTTTGCATCTCTCCCTTATCTACAAACGGGATTCGCAGCAGCTGTTCCTAAGAGCTGCGGCAGCCGAAGGAAATTACCCTGCGGTGAAACCCGCTGTGTGCTGTGGAAGAAGAAGCTTTGCCCGGCAGGACCGGTCTTCATCCCTGCGCGCAGACACCCGGTGCGGCGGAGGGAAGAAATGCGATCGAACAGCCCCCTCGGAGCAGCCCCAACGCAGCGCGCTACCGCAGCTTCCCCGCCGAGGGACGCGTCCTCCGGTGCTCCGCCAAGGCTCCCTGCGGGGTTTTCAGGCTGCGGTCTCCTGCCGGGTCCAAACTTTCCATTTTGGGGGGTCAGCCAAGACCTTCTCCTTTCCAGACCCCCCACCCCCAAACCTGAACACATCCCATCTTCTTTTCGCTGAGGGAGAATTGGGTGTTTCATCCCTTTTCCCCCCAACATCACCCATCAGGTCCTACCGGGTTCTTTACTCATTTCATTCCCCCGGTGTGATTTAGCATCTATCCTCAATTCTTTTATTATTCAGAGCTGGAGTGAAACTGGTACGGAGGGAGGAAAGCCAGTTCCAGCCCGGACGGTGCCTCTGGGCAGGCTGGTCCCCAGCTCGTTGGCGCAGTTTCTGGCTTTGTTTTCCTCCAAGCGGTGGACAAGGTGACCGTGCCAGCAGCCACATCTCACACATGTAGTGCTGCGAGGGAGGCTGTGACTCCTGATCCAACACCGGGCGCCTCTGACACAGCCCAGCGTGGACGACCTTGGCATTCTTCAACCAGCGGCATCCTGAGCCGATCTTCCTCCCAGCTTGTCCCGGTTTCACACCCCAAGCTGGTCCCAGTTCCTCAGGTAGCCCTGGGACAGATGGAGGTGGAGGAAGCCCCAACATAAGAAGGATGTGGACCTGTTGGAGTGGGTCCAGAGGAGGCCACAAAGATGCCCCGAGGGCTGGAGCCCCTCTGCTGGGAGGACAGGCTGGGAGAGTTGGGGGGGTTCAGCCTGGAGAAGAGAAGGCCAAAAAGGGGAGACCTCAGAGCCCCTTCCAGTGCCTAAAGGGGCTCCAGGAGAGCTGGGAAGGGACTCTTCATCAGGGAGGGGAGCCACAGGATGAGGGGGAATGGTTTAAACTGGAAGAGGGGAGATTTAGATGAGATATTAGGAGGAAATTCTTTCCTGTGCGGGTGGTGATCCCCTGGGGCAGGTTGCCCCGAGAAGCTGTGGCTGCCCCATCCCTGGAGGGGTTCAAGGCCAGGTTGGACGGGGCTTGGAGCAACCTGGGCTGGTGGGAGGTGTCCCTGCCCAGGGCAGGGGGGTGGGACTGGATGATCTTCAAGATCCCTTCCAACCCAAACCCTTCTGTGATTCCAAGCCAGACCGCAGCAGCGCAGCTCCTCCACCACACTCTGCTCGGCTCAGCTGTGATGGAGGACATGGTCTTCCACCCTCCCTGCCCAAAGCCCCGGAGATTTATGCTGCGGTTCCTCAGCCACAGCGGTGTCATCGGCTTGCGCAATGCCCCGGTGGTCAGACGGAGGGGGGAATACCCCGAAACGGCCATAAACAGCCCCGTGTCCCCACCGCTGCCCCCACCACCACCATCTCCCAGTGCCTCCCTCTGGGGTCGCAGAGTAACTGGTGGGTGCTTCTCTCCCAGCCTCAGCCCGCCGTGAGCATCCCCGCACCCTCACCACCGTGTTTGACGCCAGTGAAGATGGAGAGCCGTCAACTTGACATTCTCCTCCTCCCCGTCACCCTTAAGGACGTTGTGATAACTGCCCCCGGAGCTGTACTTTTTTGTGGGGGGGGGGGGTGACGCCGGCCAAAAGAGCGTGGCCGGGATATAAGGAGCCGGGCTGAAGCCGGTGGCACACGCGGTGTGTCTCTTCGCCTCGGTGGTTGGCTGTCAGCAGACACCATGAAGCTGCTCCTGCTCCTCACCTTGGTGGCCCTGGCCCAGGGACTTGTCTACAGGTGAGCACCGGAGTTTCGGGGTGCCCACGCAGCCACCGCGGTCCTGAGGACCCACGCTGGGGGAGGCGAGCAGTGTCCCAGCAAGGATGGGGAGGGGGGGCAAAACCAACAGCCCCCCCTTCGGCCATCACCGCCGCGGCGAGGACAGACCCCCTCATCCCCGGGACGAGCGCGTGGCGGGGGGGACCCGCCGCCCCCCGGGGGCACTTCACGGCCACCTCCCGGTGACGGATGGTTCTCCCCCGTACCCAGGATCCCGCTGAGGAAGGCGATGCTCCTGCCAGTTACTTAAAACATACAGTATTTCTTTCTGCGTCTTTGAGCTTTGTACTATCACTCATTGTCACGATATGGGATCCTATTCAATTCCAAATAATTTGGCAGGCCTGGAATTGCTGGCTTTTCCTCACTCTCAGGTTATAGCAATGTTGTTTGGAGAATGTGCTATGTCTAGTAAAAGTCATCTACTCCCTCCTTTCAGTCTGTCTCCTGTTGCGATAAGAGATGCTTTCCTTTTATGTTCCTGCCTAATAAAGCCCTTCTATTGGGGTGGTGTGGGGGGACACCACTGAAAGAGTTAAGCAGCTTTGAAGACTTGCCGAGATCCCAATTCTAGGTTGTTCTAAGTCAGGAATTCTGGGTCACTAACAATGGGAATTGTTCTGAATAATCTGATAATGTTCTCCTTGGTTGTGTTGCTTTGTTTCAGGGTGTTGTCACTTCATATCTCTCTGGAAGTGAGGTAGTGGAAGTGACTCACTAGCGCCTTAGCCATCCTCCTAGCCCCTTACCTGCCCCACTAGCCCCTAATCTGACCCCCTAGCCTCTTACCCGTCGTCCTAGCCCCTTACCCGTCGTCCTAGCCCCTTACCCGTCGTCCTAGCCCCTTACCCGTCGTCCTAGCCCCTTACCCGTCGTCCTAGCCCCTTACCCGTCGTCCTAGCCCCTTACCCGTCGTCCTAGCCCCTTACCCGTCGTCCTAGCCCCTTACCCGTCGTCCTAGCCCCTTACCCGTCGTCCTAGCCCCTTACCCGTCGTCCTAGCCCCTTACCCGTCGTCCTAGCCCCTTACCCGTCGTCCTAGCCCCTTACCCGTCGTCCTAGCCCCTTACCCGTCGTCCTAGCCCCTTACCCGTCGTCCTAGCCCCTTACCCGTCGTCCTAGCCCCTTACCCGTCCTCCTAGCCCCTTACCTGCCCCACTAGCCCCTTACCCATCCTCCTAGCCCCTTACCCGTCCTCCTAGCCCCTTATCTGACCCACTAGCCCCTTACCCATCCTCCTAGCCCCTTATCTGACCCACTAGCCCCTAATCTGACCCCCTAGCCCCTTACCCGTCGTCCTAGCCCTTTACCCTTCCCTCTAGCCCTGTACCCATTCCTCTAACCTGTTACCCATCCCGCTAGCCCCTTACCTATCCTGCTATCTCCTTACCCATCCCGCTAGCCCATTGTCCATCCCACTAATCCCTCACCCATCCTGCTAGCCCCACACCCATCCCGCTAGCCCCACACCCATCCCGCTAGCCCCTCACCCATCCCGCTAAGCCCTCACCCATCCTGCTTTGACAGAATGAGTACTTCGGCACCATCTCCATCGGTACCCCAGCCCAGGAGTTCACCGTTGTCTTTGACACCGGCTCCTCCAACCTGTGGGTGCCCTCGGTGTACTGCTCCAGCCCGGCCTGCAGTAGGTGTCTAACAGCCCCGTGGCCACCGGCCGAGGGGTGAAGGCAGGGGAAGCCCTGGGCTTGGTCAACCCCCTGCCCTGTCTGGCTCCTGAAGCCCCTGGAGGGGCTGGGAGCTGAGAACGGCTCTGCCCTGTCCCTCCGAAGGGACGTCGGGCAATGGGGGAGTCACTGGAGAGGCATCCTTGGTCCCTGGGGACAGGATGGACCGTGACCGTCTCCCTCCTGTACCCACAGCCAACCACAACCGCTTCAACCCAGCGGACTCCTCCACCTTCATCAGCACCAACGAAACCCTCTACATCGCCTACGGCACTGGCAGCATGTCCGGCGTCCTGGGCTACGACACCGTCACCGTAAGCTGAGATGCACCCCCCCTTCTCCCCGCCCCCATCCCGTGGGAGCAGGGACACGTGGGCATTGTCCACCCAAACCGATCCCCCTCTTCCTCTCCCCGACCAGGTCGCGGACATCGAGGTCATCAATCAGATCTTCGGGCTGGCTGAGACCGAGCCCGGCGCTTTCTTCTACTACACCCCCTTCGATGGCATCCTGGGGCTGGCTTTCCCCAGCATCGCCTCTTCCGGAGCCACCCCCGTCTTCGACAACATGATGACACAAGACCTCGTGGCCAAGGACCTCTTCTCCGTCTACCTGAGCAAGTAAGCCCTGGCTGGAGCCACCCTGCTCTTACCGATGATTTTCTCCCTCCGGCGCTGGTTCCAGCACCGTTCCCCCGTGACGTGACGCCCCGTGGCTCCTAGGGGACATGGCTCACCGCTGCCGGTGGAGGAGGATGGCAGCAAAGCCCCCCTTGGTGGTGGCACTGCCAGCGAGGTGGTGGGGTGGGACTCCCACTTGATGGCTCTGCTCTTGCAGGGATGGGCGGAGCGGCAGCTTTGTCCTCTTCGGCGCCATCGACCCCTTCTACACCACCAACGGCATCACCTGGATCCCTCTCTCTGCTGAAACCTACTGGCAGATCACCATGGACAGGTAGTCCTGGCACAGCCCCCAAGCTCGGGGGGTCCCCTTTGGCCCCCCCAGCCGGTGTTTTGGGAGGTGTAGCACCACATCCCACGCTTGGGAGGCTCACCCCGCACCCCTCTCCCCAGCGTCTCCATCGGTGGGGAGGGCATCGCCTGTGCCTTCGGCTGCCAGGCCATCGTGGACACGGGCACCTCGCTGCTGGCCGTGCCCGACAGAGTCCTCAGAGTCATCCTCAACATCCTCGGTGCCACCT